GGAGGCCATTAAGCCCACAACTGGTTCTCTTCCTTCTTTTTGCCTTCTGTCTTCTTAGTGTTTTCATCTCAGCCTATTACCTGTATGGCTGGAAAAGGGGGCTGGAGCCTTCGGGGGGTGACACACAATCCCTGGACTGCGATGAACCTAAAATCAGCCCTTCCCGTCTGCTGCCTGTGAAGTCTATGAGATCGGTGGATTCTTCACGTACAGACCCGCTGGTGCTTGTGTTTGTGGAGAGCCTCTATTCCCAGCTTGGCCAAGAGATAGTGGCTATACTGGAGTCAAGTCGTTTTAAATATCGGACCGAGATAGCCCCGGGCAAGGGTGACATGCCAACTCTCACCGATAAAGACAGGGGGCGATTTGCACTAATTGTATATGAAAACATTCTGAAATATGTGAACTTGGATGCATGGAATCGAGAGTTGCTGGACAAGTACTGTGTGGAGTATGGCGTGGGGATCATTGGCTTTTTCAAGGTAAGGGTGTCCTGGGCAAATACCAACTTTTCAAGGATTTGATAACTTGGCATGCTCTTATAAAAGTTTTTGGTTCTAGCTAATTTGTCACTTACACAGGTGCAAGTACTCCCTTGACAACCAACCACTGTTTAGAAGATGAGCACCAGTCTCCCAGTCACAGAATATTGAGCAGTTGAGGCATTTAATGAAGTGCACTATGGAAACGGTTGTTAAGGGACGCCTTGAGAACTGCTGCAAAAGATTACATAGCTGGCAACATGCAGATAGATGTAGAAAACCTATTAAGACTTCTTTTTATAGGTAACTTCATTTCATGAGGGTCAGCAAATATTCTGTACTATTGTACAACTCGGCGTATGTTGGCTCAGCAAATGCAATCCAATCATGTGTATGTGTGTTCCAAGGTAATCTCAACCTGTTATGGTGGAAACATGGGAGCTGGGACTTAAGCGGCCCATACATCAGTGATTTTTGGTTTTTCATTCAACCAGTGGGTAGAACCAAAAAATATTACTTGAATCCCCCATCCACCTTTAAATGTAAATCCTTCCCGCTGAGCTATTGTATTCTGACGGTGGGGGATACTTCCCCTTTGTCAGAATACACTGATCAGTGCTGCTGGCAACGATGATTGGGTGGAAATTTTCCAACATGCTGGTTGTACAGAAGTCGATCGGCTGATCGACTTCTGTATAACCCGCCTGCTAATACATGGGACGTAATTCAGTTGATCTCTGCTGAACTGGCATTGCAGTAAGTGATGTGGCTACTCATGACCTGAATCCTTGTTGTGGGTTCTGTTCTGACAGGTACCCTTTAAGCCTTCCTACCTGCAATATAAATGTCATTTAGTAAGGGTTTACATTTACTTTTAAAGTGATTGATTGAAAGTGTTTTTTTTTTTTTAAACAAATGTTATACTTACTAAGCGACCCTAAACCTCCGCAGGTCCCCACCAGCACTGTTTCCAAGCCGCTTGCTTTGGGGGCACTTGTGCGTCTCAATCCTAAGCCATGCTGCTTATGTCCAAAGACACGGTGCTGCTCCGCCCTGCTCCCTCGTCACAGGATTTGAATGACAGCAGTGGGAGCCAATGGCTTCCACTGCCTCAGCAAAGCCTGTGAGAGCGTGGAGAGAAGACACAGTATGTGATTGGGGGGGGGTAGGCGACGACGACGACGACACTGCTACCTAATCATTTTTTACCTTAATGCAAGGAATGCATTAAGGTGAAAAAATATTTAGGCTTTAGAACAACTTTGCATATTAAGATCAAAACAACAGGTTTACTTTAATAGCTGGTTCAGCAGAAGCACATAACCTTACCTTCTCTCCTCCTCCACTCTGTTCAAGTCACTGGGAGCAAAGAAAGGAAAACCTGTGTGATCTCCAAGTCGCTCAAACTCTATAGGGTTTCAATCCCCTGGCCAGTAGGAATAGGATAGAGTTGGATAGTGCGCACCCCAGGCTTCAGTGCATTGCACAGTGTTGTTAATCTAACATTGGTAATCTGTAGTTACTCTGGTAATGTTAGAATACAAAAAAAAAACAAACAGTTTGGTCACCAACTCTTCGCCATACTTTTGGGCGGACTTGCTTTTTTGGGAGTATTAGTGGTATGGTGAAACCTTGTTATAGGATTTGTATAAGCATGACCCAAATTTTCTGCCAAACCTCCATTTCCCGCTCTAGATCATATAGCTTTTGTTCTGTAGCATGAAACAATTTTTATTACACCCTCTGACTTTGCCAGGCTTGCAGAATTCCTGCACAGGCATATGTTGGCTGAAGGAATCAGCTGGGTGCTCCACATCAGTTCTTCTTGACATAGAGCAGCCAAAAACAACATCCCCCAAGAGCCCCTTTTCCAGGCCACAGTACATGGTAGGCTCTTGGAAGTCAAAGCCATGGCATATAGTAAAAATGCAAAAGTGAGCGCTATCCAGTCAGCAGCTAAGCAGTCAAGGTAACCAAATAAAACCTTACAAATAGAATAGATAAAACAGTGCAGCACTAAAGGGTAACAAATAAAGAACCATAATACTAATAATAAAGTTCAGTAAAGGTAACAGTCCGTGATACTATAAAGTGCCAGGTGACTGGTATAAAACTCGATGGTGGTGCTCCGTGAGAAATGGCAGAAATACGCACTCACAAGATGCGCATTAGTTATACGCATTTAAGTATCACATCCAGGGGTGTCCACATCAGATGTAGGTCTGGTCAGGGCTTAAGGGTAATCCTCCCTCAAGGTGGTAGACAGCAAATGCCCAGGTGGCAAAATTAAACGGATCCAGGTAATCGGAGGTCCCTTTAAGGGATGAGCAGAAGAGGCTGCCTGCTTACAGGATAACTTCCTTCTCTGGGTAAGGTGTCTGATGTGGACACCCCTGGATGTGATACTTAACAGCGTTTAACTAATGCGCATCTGGTGAGTGCGTATTTCTGCCATTTCTCACAGAGCACCACCATCGAGTTTTGTACCAGTCACCTGGCACTTTATAGTATCATGGACTGTTACCTTTACTGAACTTTATTAGTAGTATTACTGTTCTTTATTTGTTACCATTTAGCGCTGCACTGTTTTATCTAAGGCTATGGCATAGTTTTTCTGCAAAAAAACCCTCAATGTATGCATGTTGAATGGGACACACGGACAAGCAAGCATTCTGTTGTGTAACAGGCAGGAAGGATGCCACAGATTAGGATTTCATGGCAGCAAAGGCGCCATGTTGTTGGGAGCACCGTCAGATCAGAAAATATTTTTTTTGTACTAGCAGCATTTTTAAAAGGGTTAACACATGGGCAGGTTTTAGTGCAGGAGTGCTCAACCTTTTGTAGATTGTGGGCCTCCTAAATGATTTGGTGACTGGTTGTGAGGCCAATATGAAATGGCACTTTGCCATAGACTTTTAATATATCTTGTGCTTGTGGTGCAGTTTCTGAAAGCACCCCAAATCTGCAGGAGATATAATAGAAGTTTATGGCTCGACTCATTGCGGGTAAGCCTCAGGTGCACTGTGTTGCACCCACGTTGCAGGTAAACCGCAGTGCATCTGTGTCAAAGCAGCCTAATAGTTGTTAACCCTGTAATATGTGCTGATATGCCCATTGCTAGAAGCTATTATGCCCAGTGTACGTGTTGTTTATTACACTGACCTGAAGACCTTTTCTTTTCCTCTTGTAGTTGCTGCTGGCATTGATCTCTAAACTGCTAGAAGGGATAAGAGGTGGAGTGCACTTGGTATCACTCCGCATGGAACAGGAGCCGGTGCTACAGGGGAAGCATCGGCTTATGCTGCTTTTGCTCCCTCTGCTGCTGGTGCCAGCTCACTGCCCTCTGATGCTCTGGGATGGCGGATCGGCAAGCACAGATTGCGATCATTGGTTTGCCGACCATGGGCATGAGCTTCCCTGGTCTGCTTTTGTACATTTTTTTTATTAATTAATAATCATATTAAGTTTGAGGTTGCGGGCCATATCAGACAGCTCTGTGGGCCACGGGTTGAGCACCAGTGTATTGGAGAGATATAATGTACCTTATTTTTCGCTCCATAAGACGCACCTGACCATAAGACGCACCTAGGTTTTAGAAGAGAAAAACAAGAAAAAAAATATTCTGAACCAATGGACTGCAGACAGTACAGGAAGTGACCCGACACTGCGGACATAGTACAGGAGAAGGACCAGAGACTGCAGACAGTACAAGAGATGACCAAAGACTGCGGACACAGTACAGGAGAAGGACCAGAGACTGCGGACAGTACAGGGGATGACCAGAGACTGCAGACAGTATAGGGGATGACCGGAGACTGCGGACAGTATAGGGGATGACCGGAGACTGCGGACAGTTTAGGGGATGACCAGAGACTGCGGACAGTTTAGGGGATGACCAGAGACTGCGGACAGTATAGGGGATGACCAGAGACTGCGGACAGTAGAGGGGATGACCAGAGACTGCACGCAGTACAGGAGATGACCAGAGACTGCGGACGCAGTACAGGAGATGACCAGAGACTGCGGACATAGTACAGGAGATGACCAGAGACTGCAGACAGTACAAGAGATGACCAAAGACTGCGGACACAGTACAGGAGAAGGACCAGAGACTGCGGACAGTATAGGGGATGACCAGAGACTGCGGACAGTATAGGGGATGACCGGAGACTGCGGACAGTATAGGGGATGACCGGAGACTGCGGACAGTAGAGGGGATGACCAGAGATTGCGGATAGTAGAGGAGATGACCAGAGACTGCACGCAGTACAGGAGATGACCAGAGACTGCAGACATAGTACAGGAGATGACCAGAGACTGCGGACATACTACAGGAGATGACCAGAGACTGCGGACATAGTACAGGAGATGACCAGAGAGTGCGGACAGTACAGGAGATGACCAGAGACTGCAGACAGTACAGGAGATGACCAGAGACTGCGGACACAGTACAGGAGATGACCAGAGACTGCGGACACAGTACAGGAGATGACCAGAGACTGCGGACACAGTACAGGAGATGACCAGAGACTGCAGACATAGTACAGGAGATGACCAGAGACTGCGGACATAGTACAGGAGATGACCAGAGAGTGCGGACAGTACAGGAGATGACCAGAGACTGCAGACAGTACAGGAGATGACCAGAGACTGCGGACACAGTACAGGAGATGACCAGAGACTGCGGACACAGTACAGGAGATGACCAGAGACTGCGGACACAGTACAGGAGATGACCAGAGACTGCGGACAGTACAGGGCATGACCAGAGACTGCTTTAGGGAGGGAGGGGGAACGGGTACCTGAATTTGACAGGTACCCACTCCCACTTCCGCGGAGTTCTCCTTCCTATACTGTGGGCACCCGACTTTGACAGCCAGGTGCCCACTGCGGACCATTTACAAAGATACCGGACCATTTACAAAGCGCAGCGCTTCTCGCTCGTGTGCAGTGGGCACCCGGGTGTCACAGATGCCGGGGCGGGAAGAAGTTAGCGCTGGACTGAGGAACAGGTGAGTTCCTGCCGCAGAGAACAGCTGAGCAGCCGGCCCGGTATTCTGACATGGACCGGCCGCTTTATATTCGCTCCATAAGACACACTGGCATTTTCCCCCTTTTTTTGGGGGGGGGAAGTGCGTCTTATGGAGCGAAAAATACGGTATATGTTTTACATTTTTCCCTGTCAATGACTTTGACTTTAAGGGCTCATGTACGCGGGGCGTTTGGAAAACTCTTCTGAATGATGGAAACTGACTGCTGGAAAACGTAGGTTAAAACACGTCAGTTTAGCTGCGTTTGTATACTGTGTTTTATGCGCATTTGCGTTTTAGAAGCGTTTTTAAAAGATAACCACAGGAGACCTTCCCAACTACCCAGAATGCACTGAAAAATAGGAAATAATTAACTATTTCAGATATTTTGAGAGGAATAGAGAGAGCAGAAGCAGAGAGAGCAGTGTGTGTTGAGATGACCTGTCTTTTCTGCTTGTATTCACTATGGATCCCATCATGAGCATAATGCGGCACGTTCTACCATTTTTTTCCTTCACATGAAACCTGGAACTGACTGCGCTGGTGTACCGGGTCCATTTGAATACATGGAAAACGCTTGCATTTCTGATGATGAAAAAAGGCTCTGAACATCATCTGGATATGGAACAGTTAAAAACCACTTATAAACGCGGTTAACAAGTGTTTACAAGCGTTTGGCGTTTGAAACGCCAGTAAAAATCTACTCCTGAATGCAAGTTTGATGCGTTCAAAAAAAAACGACTGTAAACTCAACTGCCTGTACAAAGATGTATACATGGACACATAGGAAAACATAAAGGAGAGTTCAGGGGCTGCTGAAAAAAAAACGCTCAACAGCTCCTGAACGTCAGATTAGCAGCTGCAGTGTACATGAACCCTGAGTCCTCATGCACACTGGATGTTTTTTCAGCCGCTGTTTATTGGCACACACAGACTGTAATCAGCATTTTTGGGCTGGAAACACCAACCCCCCCCCCCCCCCCCCCCCCCCCCGAGAACTAGTGTGTTTTCTAGAGGAGTTTTTTAGCTGTAAAAAAACGCTCGAACGCTGAAAAACGCGGCAATTCGGCATCTTTGGACTTTTTTTTTTTTTTTTTTTTTTTTTACAAAAATGCTAAAAAAAATGCACGATTTTAACGTGACTTTACACAGCTAACATTACCAGCGTTCTTAAAACGCCCCGTGTGTATGGAGTCTAAAATGTGTTTCTGTGTGAAAGGAAAAAACCATTCATCCAGCTTGTCACGCGTTCTCTGGTAACTTGATTCACACAATAGACAAACAGAACATTCGATTTTGCAGCAAACCGTTTTTCACTGAACCCAAGAAATACAACAAAAAAATGGACTTTCTAATGCTGGCAGCCCAGGATCTCGCAAGCTTTGGTAGTTTGCTTTCTAAGAGTACTGACATATTTTCCTGAGCGAAGGCTGACTCATGCATTCCCTTTCTGCGCCATCACCAAGATGCATCTTATTAAGCCCAGTCGAGTGGCCGTAATCCTCCGACAAAGTTGTAAATGAGCCATTGTTCTTGGCGAAGGGCCTTGCTGGACTTCTCCTTTCAGCAGACGGTTTTTCTATTCATAAAGTTCCCCTTCCTTTCCCTCCCAGTTAGCTGAGCAACACTCGGTCCACTAGGTCTAGATAACTGCTGTTGGGTTTGTGGTATTGTTCATTCAGACTTTGACCATTTGAAATATTGTTTTTCCTCCCAAAATGGTTCAGACATAATGAAAAGGAAGTTTAGCCTTTCGTAGAATGTGGAAGGTTTTAGAACCCCTGCCAGGTTGTTATTGCTCAATCTCAAACCAGAACCACTACCGGTACCAGTATGTAGACAAGGGAAACTGAAATGACATCTGAACCTCTAGAATGGAGTATCCCTCAAACAGTAACTGTCCACACCACGTATGTTACCAAACACAAACCATAAAATCTCAAATTCAATTCCATCATCAATTGTCATTTTCATACCTTCTAATAGTAGTATGTGTCAGTGTATTGTGAAATTTGGATTCAAAGGTTCTCCGCTTTGAGGTTGGCTATGTTTGGTCTATATAGTCCCACTGTACGCAGGAATGTAGCAACCCTCCTCAGCGGTTCACAAGATGGACCAGGGGCAGACTGACCATTCGGGCACTGCCCGAGGGCCCGGGGTCAATAGGGGGCCCCATGAAATGCCCCTGGTATTTTTTTTTATAGGCTTTTTTTTTGAGTGTGGGCAAGGACACGGGCCCTATGATCCCCTATTGCCCGGGGGCCCCATGAGTTGTCAGTCCACCCCTGAGATGGACAGTATTGCATGCTGACGTGGCTGGCATGTATTGGCACAGGAAACCTTCCCCTTCTTAAAATTCTATTCATAAAATGGGGATGCCTGTGCAGAGGAAGGCTCCATGCACACTTGGCATTTTGGTAACGCTAGCTGTGTAAAGTCACATTAAAAATGTGAGTTTTTTCAGCTTTTTTTAGCATTAGCGTTTTGCCGCGCTTTCCCGCATTTGCGTTTTTGGTCAAAAAAAGTCCAAAAACGCCAGTTTGCAGCATTTTACCATGTTTTGCCATGTTTTACAGCATTAGAGCATTTTTACAGCTAAAAAACTCCTCTAGAAACCCACTTGTCCTGGGTATTTTTCCAGCCAATAAAAGTCCCTGCCAAAAAAACACACTGATTACAGTCTGTGTGTGTATGGACACATAGGATAACATGCTGGGGGGTTTACTGGCTGTAGTAAAAAAACGTCACAAGCCAATAACAGCCGCTGTAAAAACATCCAATGTGCATGAGGACTGATAGGTAGGTGCACTGGTTTGTGGGATTTGTAGATTACCGGATCAGTGCATGTGACCGCAATATACATTCACTGCCTCCTAATCATGGACAGGAAGTGAAGGGAAAAGCCTCAGAGTGTGGAGATGCCAATTTTATTTGGGGGGGGGGGGGAAGAAACTGTAAATGTAGTGTGCAGATTCCGATACAATGTATATGTATAGGACTTCGGGCTTTTATTTTTATATGGAAGGTTTAGTGAAACTAAGTAGCAGCTCAGTGGTACAGGAGGTGACATATTGCTTCCTCACCACTTGTCAAGTGCCTCTGAAAAGCGATCCACCGAGAATTTTATTTCAGAGATACAGCAATGATAACCCCATGTTTAAACCGTGTGCATTATACACAATTGCAGGGCAGTTTGTGGCCTTATTCACTTGACTGGGTCACATTCTGCTCTGGTACTGTCCACAGAATGTGGCAGGGGCTGAATTATGGCATAAGCATCGCAGCCATGGCATGTGTACATCCCCCATACAGCTGCCTTTGCAGCTTAAAGGGGGGGGAATCGGTAAAAAACGCATATTGGCCAGCTGTTTTGTACACCCCTTCCCCAGCTGCAAGTGTAAATGAGCTGGAAATATGTAAATATTATAATATATAATATGTAAATTTTGTAACAAGTAACTTGCTAAGCACCACACAAATGAATAACATCCCACAAATATGACTCATAATAAAATTGTAAAAGCGAGCACTATCCAATCAGCAGCTAAGCACTCAAGGTAACCAACATAAACCTTACAACAGAATAAATAAAACCGTGCAGCGCGCTAAGATTATGATTCAAAACAAAAGAAGGTATTAAATGACACACTGATAATAAAAGTTTGATATAAATGACAGTCTATGTGACTATAAAGTGCCAGGTGACTGTTTAAAACTTGATTGTGGTGCTCCCGTGAAAAATGGCAGAAATACGCACTCACCATATGCGTAATAGTTATACACATTAAGTATCACATCCAAAGGTTTCCTCATCAGATATAGGTCTGGTCAAGGCTTAGGTGTTCCTCCCTCTGGGTAGTAGTTAGCAAATGCCCAGGTGACAAATTACTCAGATCCAGGTAACCAGAGGTCCCTTTAAGGGATAGGTAGAAGAGGCTGCCTGCTTACAGGATAACTTCCTTCTCTGGGTAAGGCAACTGGATCACAAAAACGGGCTCTGCAAATAAATACTCCTCAAAAGGAGTCAGGGAAGGATGTCCATAGTGTAATATTCAAAGTATGATATTTATTAGGAAAAACGAATGTTTGCAAACAGTAGAAGCGAATAAAACAACATCAGGACTGCAGAGATGAACTAACCCTCCAGAGTCCAAGATGGCCACCACGCCTCCATGTGGCTCCGGTGGCGTAGCGTCACAACGTCCTGGCTCCTCCTTACGCGTTACATGCACATGTACTTCATCAGAGGAAGATACCATTGCGTATAACTATTACGCATCTAGTGAGTGCGTAATTCTGCCCATTTTTCACGGAGCACCACCACCAAGTTTAAACAGTCACCTGGCACTTTATAGTCACATAGACTGTCATTTATATCAAACTTTTATTATCAGTGTGTCGTTTAATACCTTCTTTTGTTTTGCATCATAATCTTAGCGCTGCAGTGTTTTATTTATGACCCACAATAAGCCTGGGTTCACATCTGACATTTTGTATTCTCAGGCAGAATTGCTGAAGTTTTTCCGTGATCCCAAATCTCCCTGCATTAATGACCAATTCCACCATGCCTGTTCAGGTACCATTCATTTTCAATGGCACCTAAACATGACGCGATAAATCACAACATGCAAAGCTGGTCTCCCAAAAGTAGCTCCTCCTTCTTTTTTTGCGATTTATCTCACAACAGTTGCTGAAAAACCACACTGCGTTTAGGTGCCATTGAAAATGAATGGTACCCAAACAGGCATGGTGCATTTTGTAGAGTAATTGGGCAGAATCGCAGCAATTCTGCCTGAGATCACAGAACACCAGAGGTGAGCAGAGCCTAAAACATTCAAAACAATTCTCGGAAAACCGATGCACCAGTTTATGTAAAGAAATGTCGTCTACCAGCAAACTCG